AAAACGGCAAACTTCGCAAGGCTATATTATCCGCATTTTACAACATTTCGCAACGAAACTTCGGAATATTACTAATTTTGTGATGCTCTTTCAAGCTGTGATGAAATTTTTGTCTAGATCAAAATTTAGTCTATAATGCAAATGGTCCATTGGAGGATTTGGAATGACATCTCATTTTCGAAAAAATAAACGTTGTCTAAGTCGTGAAAATCAAAACTAAACTTTATGTAAATTAACACGAATTTTTATCACGTATCACCACCGAGACGGCAGTGATTTCCTTTGTCCTCATGAATTATTAATGAGGTTGTTTAATGTGTTTCTTCTAGGTTTAGCGACGTCGTCATTTCCATTGGCGATGCCAATAAAAACAATCAATGAACCGTTTTTAACATTGACCAGGTTAGAGAAATGTTTAGTTTGACACATTATCTTCGGAAAATGTAGAGCGCCGCCTGAGCGCGATCCATCTCTAACTGAGGTCAATTAATTTATAAATTTCAGCGGTGCTGGTCCAACACGATGGAGCGATGGCTGTGGAGAGATCGTCGGTAGTTCAGATGATTACAATATACAAGGTAGACACGTAAAAACGCACAAGTTGTAACAAACCTGCAGCATACTTGTAGCAACGCTGTTCCAACAACTTGTCAACAGGATGTGTTCCCACTGCTTGTTCCCAGCTTGTTAACAAGTTGTCAACGACTTGTTGACAACTTGCTACAGGGTTGTTGACCGAATCAATTCTGTTTATCGCCATGCAAACCCACAACAGCATGCTACAAGGAAGTTGACACGTTTTACATGTTATTTTTTAGAATATTTTTCATCATATTTAAAGCAAGTGGACAAGAGGGCTGAGCATATGTCCATAACCATTCCATTTTATTTACATTATGTAAGTATACAGCCGGTTTATTAGCATGGCATGACCAGTTACCAAGATGAGCTTCGCCACTTGATTAGCACACGCATCGAAAGTCCAATTCGATTATTCGATGGACAACGATACGTTGCTGGTTTCCTTTGTAAATTTGCTTATGAATTATTAATGATTTTAAAGGTACAGTATATACAGTCTGAGTATATTAAACATTTACAGTTTTACTTTACTGTAGGTTGTCGAGCCAAACGAGGAGATCCCAGATATGATTTTCGCTGTGGTTATTCAAATGCAAACGACAAGCAAATACAAAATAATTCCAGGTATGCTGTATCAACTTCTGGGGACAAACTTGAAATACTACATCTGAACGACTGAAGTGTAAACATGAATATTGCATAAAATCTTGAATGTTGAGTGTGGGCTTCTGGGTAACTTGTACGATGTCACTACCTGAAAACAGAACAAACTTCGAAGTCCCCTCCGAAGGACGAAAGGTCTTCGCTTGAAATGCTATAAAGCCCGGTGGTCAAACTAGGATGATGGGAGTTGACAGTCACGAATAGACCTTTCCCCTTATAACCAAAATTTTGATCTAGACAAGTCTAGAGAAATATTTCATCACAGCTTGAAAGAGCATCACAAAATTAGTAATATTCCAAAGTTTCGTTGCGAAATCTTGTAAAATGCGGATAATATAGCCTTGCGA